CTGTCTCGCTGTGAACACGGGTTTTTTCTTAAATAGGTTTCGTCTGCAACTCTATCAACGGAAAATGCATTAATATAAAACAATTTCTCTCCACGTCATTACTGTCTACATTTGATATTCCCTTTTCAAAACTGCTCTGCTTAACACTGGTCTCTTTCAGCTCTTCAGAAGAGGAGCTAGTCTGGAATGTGGCAATGTCCCTAGGAAAGAATGGAAAAGGGCTTTTGTCAGCTCCTGTTCTCCCCCCTGCCAGCTTAGTACAGAATGCAGTGTTTCTCCCACACTTTTCTATGCCCTCTCACACCTCCTTGGGGCCCTACTTCATCCTATTCTATTCCTCTAAAAGAAATCTTTGTTAAGAATTACATTTCTCTGTTAAATAGAAACTTTAGCTCTGCTTACGTGTATAGTATCTGAATGGCTCTTCTTAGCTACCTCAACAAGGCAAATGATACTTATTCTGTTGTCTCCCTATGGTCTTTCAGTATTCACGAGGAAAAGTTTTTGAAAGGAAAGAAAAGCAGGCTATTTTTTTTTGTTTGTTTAATCTTCATAAATTGTTTCATCAGCAGTTGGGACTTAGAATGCTGAGAACTGCAGCTAGCAATGTCTGTTAAGGAGTGGTGTGGAACTGTTAACACTCAACGAGGCAGTAAGGGTGGGCTGGAATCACTGCAAGGGACATATTTCCTCATGTACTGAAACATTCCTTTCTTCTTACAGCGTTGTGATAACAAGAAAAAAAAACAAATAATCCTTGTGCCAAAGTGTGCTGCCCATTGGCTGCTGAATGGGTATTTTCAGAACTGCAAAGTTTCCATATTATGCAAAGTCAGCATGTACTACTGACATTTGTGTTGCACCATGGTTTTCCAACTGTGAGTAACATCATGGATCAAGTTCTCATTGAGATGGAAAGAGCTTCTTCTGGCCTGTGTTTCTACATCTGCATATCCCTAAAACTTCAGAGCATGGTGTACCCCATCTGTGCTAGTGGAGAAATTAGTACAAGCAAGTCAGACTGGGCTAATGCAAGAAACTGGTTTCTGTCCAATTCTGTAAAACAAAATGAAAGCATGTATCTGTTGGACCTCATTAAAGACTTGGCTGTACTTGACCAAAGATTTTCAAGATGATCCATAACTGCTGTTATCGGTCTAAGCACTGACTAAACTGTACACTGGAGAGTCACTGACAGGCCTGAGAAATACTGATTTGGCTTAATTTGTGGTTGAATGAGTTTCTTCCAGAAACTTATTTCTAACATCACAGCATGCAATAGATCCATATATATACTTCTAATTAATTTTTTTTTAAAAGAAATATCTTTTCCTTTGGCAAAGTCTGCTCCATTTCAGCTATGCGTAATCCAAACAGCCTTTTCTCACCACTAACGCTGCTGAAATGTCAGCATTCTAATTTAAGCCAATGTCAGACTGGGCCAGAATTGCAGAAGGTTTGATCTCACTGAAAAGAATTTAGTTTGCAAATCTGAAAAATGTAACTCTGCTCTAAGAGATACTTTCTCTAGGTAAACCTTTTCTTAGATTATTTTATTTAAGTCCTTACAGCTCCACAGAACTGACCTCTGTCCCAAAACAAAAAACTTCTCTAATAAAACTTCTCCGTTAGAAAAATCTAGCAGTATGAGTAGCTAATAAATTATTAGAAACACATCTTTGTTTGAGTCACAATGCACTTCAAAATCCCCTTCTTGAGGAAAGTAAGCATCTCATCCATATAGTGGGTTACTTGATCACATCATAAAGAATACATGCAAACATTACTGCATAAACATCAAAGAACTTTTATAATTAACGTATTCAGACCATACCTTCCCTTTTCCATGTGGAATTCCTAAAGGACAGTGTTTTACTGCACCCAGCAAAGCAGCAACAGCAAAACTGTAGCCAGTTACTGCTTCTGGGGAGGATTTCAATGCACCGAGACGTTCGATGCAGCGATCCAAGAGCAGGGAGACATAGGAGGGCAGCGCGACCGCAACGCAGCGCAAGCACCACGCTGCGGTCAGCCTGACTGAAATGCTGGGATGCAGAACGACAGAAATTACTGCTTCCAGAACTCCTGGAAAATAAAATACATAAACATACTTAAGAAACAGGCAAGCAGATTGTTAAATGTTAAAAAAAACGATGTCCAGTTTCTGTACTTCTTTTTAAAAAGTACTATCGATACTTATTGTGAAATGTTTTCTACCAAATTTAAGTACTTCAATACTTTTCAAAAAAAGTTACCCTGAAAAGTAATAATATGGAGAAAATCTAACATATTATGCACTTATTCACCAACATGCATAGAAAGTATCCATAAGGATTCTCCAGAAAGCAGAAATCCATGCAGTCAAAACAGATGTCCGCTTGAACCCATCCAAAAAATTGCAGCTGTGTGAAAACAATGAAGGTAAATGAAGATACCCAGCTCAATCACACTGATTTACTATAAATGTTATGAAGTGTTGGAATTTAAATATGACCCTAGTGGTGACAAATTTGGCACTTTTTTTTTTATTAACATACTAGTACAGGTTGGAGAAAACACAGAATCCTTTGTTTTGGGAAATGCCTGAATATTTCCTACAGCATGTAAGGTAGTCAAGTTCCCCTCTTACTCTTTTTTATTTTTTTTTATTTTAAACTATTTCGTGGAAGAAAACAGAAAAGAACTAAGGAAGTCCAGGTAAGGAGAAAGCACACAAGAAGAAAGGTTGCTATTGTCAATACCAGAGGATCCCAACAGATTGGAAAGAACTGACAGTCTAGCCCTAAGAAATCAGAGAAGGTCACAGTGAATAAAGGAATATAATTTTGTACTCTGGATCCTGAAACAATTCAGGGCTTGTACCTGTACTGGAGTCCTGCAGTAATGGTGCTGCTGTAGTTCCTAAGCCATGGATAAGACTTCCGAGTTCCTGAAGTGCACACACAAGTACGTGCTGACTTGTTGTTACATCTGTTGCACTAGTTCTTGTTTCCAAGTTATTGTCACTCATTGCAGCATCTGATAATACAGGAAGATCCTCATGAAACCATTACCAAAATGAAACAAACAGAGTTTTCCCATGGTAACTTGTTTATATTATCAAAAGAGCTTTTACCATTACTCGTTTTATTACTGATCAAACTGTTTTTCATAAAGGTTTACTTTTGCTGAGACAAGTACATTTCTCCTACTCAAATGGAAAGTGTAGTAATGTCTGTGAGGGCAGGATGGTAGATAAAATGGAAATACCAAATACCTTATCTTTAAGTGATGGAGTACAGTGGCTAGTAAGAAGCATGCTATTCTGGGCCTTACTGCCAAGCCTCACTGAAAATGATTTGACGAGGTCATGGTTTGATACAACTTGCTAGACTTTATTACACAGTAGGAAAAAAGGGAAGAAAAGAGTGGGAGAGCAAGCAAGTGAGAAGGTGCAGGCAGGTAATAAACAGGGAGGGGAAAACCTGCAGTATTTTTTAAGTTTATCTTCTGAGACACAAACAATCATGTCAGTTTAGACATTAAACACTTAGATACCTAACATGCAGCTGCACACCGGTGGACAGCTGGTTATGCACAGCATTCTCTTTCTTTTCCCCTACAGGGACAACGGTGGGAGATCCGCAGCTTTTTTTTGGAATCTGTGTGCAAGACTTTACCATGCAAAAGATCTTTTTTTCTCCAGTAGAAATGCTCATTTTGTTGATTAGGAAAACAAGGTTCTTTTTTGAAACATCAGTCGTGTCAGCTGCTCTGAACAGGAAGGCAGACTCTGGCTATATATTAACTGCCAATTTAACTTATTTTACAATAATATATATCTTTTATTACTACATATATTTATTTTATTATATTTGTAATTGGTTAAAATTACATTCACCAAGGAAGAAGTGCTAAAAACTATATTTACACTTGTGTGGATACAAACATGCAGGGACCCAGACACACACAAATAACCAGCACAAGTTAAAAACAAAGCAGTCCATCAAAAGCCCTCTACATTATTCTGGTAATAAATCAGCACTAGATATTCTGTTTCTGCAGTCTGTGGATTAGGAAATTGGACAATCACTTAAAAAAGGAAAAACAGAGGCCCAAAGGGATAATCTTGTTAGACCCATACCCACAACTTTCTTCAGTTTCCAGATGGCCTGACAAATCTCCTTGGCAGCTGCAATTTGAGCCTTTTCCCCAAGAAGGCCTCCTACTGTAGCTCGAAGAATAAATGAAACACAGCGGCGACAGCCGACAGCATCCATCTGACTCTCAACAGCCTTAGGGTGAGACTGAGACACCAGATCTAGAATATGGGAAAGGAAGGCAGAGAAGTTCCTTTCAAGCCATTGTGCTCCTAATGTAGAGACAAATACCACATATGCCTGGAAGAGATTTGAAAAGAAGCCATATTTTAGAGCAAAATAATCTGGGAAAACACTGCCAGCTATTCTTATATACAGGGTTTTTTTCAATCTCTGCACACTTCCAAAACTAGAACATCACTAAACTGAGATTACTCAAACTTTTATGCGTCCATAAATCACGTACGTATTGAGCAATTTCAGCTGGCCGCAATTTTTTTGGGTCTATTTTAAGTAATTAAAATTACTATCAAAACTGTACTACCAATACTGCAGCCTGCTTTGCCTGTAAGTTAATTCAAGCTGCTTGCCCGTGTTATTTCAGCCCACAGTGTGAGAAACAACAGTTTACCCTGCACAAGCACTTGTTATGTAAAACACTGTGTTTGGTCTCACTGAACAACAGCTTCCAGCTATTTAACATTCTGCACATGGAACTCAAATTTAATGTATGAATGCATTTTAAGAACTACTATGTTACAAAACTATAACCCATAACCCTGAGAGGACTTTGTTATTACAGGCTTTGAATTAGGGAGTATTTGCATCCCTCAAGCACTGCTCTTCATCTCAATGACTTTTAATTGTTTGCCTTGTAGTGGAGGTACCTAAAAAGACTACATTTGTCACAACAAAGAGAAAATGCAGAGTCATTTTACAAATCTAACAACCACAGGACCATTTATTTTGCCACATGATATGCTCCCTCACAAATGCCTTCCATGTGCATCTGTTGGAATTTTTTTTTTTTTAAAGAACGGATGTGGTACCACCAAGAGAATACAATACCCAATAATATGTAAATGAGCACAACAAATCCCACATAAGAAAGTTCACAACTACCACCCATACCAACAAACTTCTGTATTTGCCTCACACATGATTTGTCTTGTGTCTAATACTAAAACTGAAATTACTCATGTAAAAGAAAGTTAGCATCTAGTTGCTCTTGAGAAATGCTCCTTAGGCTTCATAACGTACCAGCACGTTTTCTCTGCTTTACAGATTTGAAAACTGAGGAAATAAACAGCATCAATAGACTTCCGAAGAGTCATACTGCCAAGGCTATATTCTGAATTCCATCTTGAACCTGGCTGTGTCTAGAACAAATATAAATTCTTCTTCCACATCTAAGGAGTAATCCTCATTGTTTTTCTTATTTTCTAATTTATAAGAAGCTGCAACTCACATAATAATATATTGTATAACTCCAAGTTTTTTTTTCTAGTCACAGGCACCGATAGATGCACAATTTCTCAGGTTTTTCTTATAGAAATATTGCACTACTTTAACTGTCCTGGTATGATTAGATTGTACCACCTGGCACAGGCACTATCGTCTTAATGTGGAAATGCATGATAAAGGAGACACCTGCCAAAAATCAGTACAAATAGTCAAAACATTGGACTGAAATACCTGCTCCTGGAAAACTAATAAAACCACCATGTATACAGAGCACCCTAGGAGTCTGGCATGCGTTTTCAAGGCAAACAGTGGTCAAGGTAGCATTGTTCCCCAGCTTTTCTGTCTCTCTGCTAGGAGCTAATGCTTCAAACCCAGCAGGAACTGAGCATAGAAGACAATTTGTGACCAACTTCTAGCTGTTTCGGTGCAAAGTCTGGCAGCTTTTGTCAGTAATTCAAGCTAATTTACAGATTCTTTTGCACTGCAGAAGTTGAAGTGCACTGAAAAAATCCTTTATTGGCAAGGGGGGCTATCTCAGCTGTGGGGACTGTAACATATTAAAATAATTGCAGCTGTATGATATGCAAATGTTCATCATAACCTTTTCTCTTGATTCACAGGTTTAATATTTGACTATCTAGGTGTCAGCATGTAAATGCCATTTAAGATAATACTTACAGAAAGCAGCCAATCTGATATTATCTGAAAAATTCATACTGTTTTTACCAGCATGCACTATATGGCCTGTTAACAAGATTCTATGCTCTAAATGAGCATCCTGGAACACAGCAAAACAGATATTTGGGGGGTGTTCCCCACTAAATTATCTTTTCCTTTTCTTTCTTGCACTTACTCAAAGCAGAACCGTTCTTTCAGAACAGGACTGAGATTTTTCCTGTATAGAAGAAAATTATTCCAGTTCAAGGAATACTTCTAACTTCTCTCTTTCACTTTTAGACATAAGGTATCAAGTTTTAAATTAAAAGATTTGTGAAATGTACTGTTTATATCACTTACTTGAAACTGAGATCATGTGATGCTTTCACAAATAATATCTATATAATTTTGAAAATTTCAAACTATCAGGTAAACAACAAGCAACATCAGAAATACTTTCTTTCCTTTCTAGGACAACTCAAGATGCAAATCCTTATTTTAAAGTGCATACATTTCATCACAGATACAAAAAAAGGATGAAAGAAGAGAGATACAGGGAGCAAACCAGGAATGTTTAGCCATCTCAGAAAATCCTAACTAACGTAATCCAAACCTGAGTGACTCCAACTCTAACATCTCTGCTGACTGAACTGGTGCCTTTCAACATATCGCCACTGGCTCGTAGAAATCCACAACTTCCACGCAGAAATCCAGTTCCCAGTAGCTCCATAGCTTCTTCCAAAGAGACTCTGCGGAAGTTATGCCTGGTGGTTGCTAAGAATAGATAGAAATCTTTAGAGAAATAGCTCTGTAAAACTTGTTGCATTTTATAAAAATATTTTCAACTCTGATCGTTTCTGAAAAAGCAATTTACACAAATGCAGCAGCACCACCAAACCCAAATACTGTTTGAGCATAATTTCAAAACAGAAACTAAGATATTATAGGATTCAGTGCTCCAGTGAACCACAGTATTTCTCCAGTTTTTTTGCTTCAGCTATCTTTAAACAGTTTAGGCCATCGCCTAATATGTCTACATACCTTGACCTTCCCTCAGTGTTTACCATGTAAGCTACACTGCCTTTACAAAAAAAGGGTCTGTGTGGCCTACTCCTACCACCCCAACTCCAACTCATTCCAGCCTACTGCCAAAGACAGCCCTGCATTCCCAACTCCGGGCAGGGCAGATCACATCTCTGCCATGCTTAATCATGTAAGGGTACAGCTACAGATTTTCTTAGAAATAAAAACATCTCACCTTTGTATTAAATCAGCTCTCCAAAAGACTGAGAAAAGTCAAATATAGTTACTGTTTTCTAGGAAGACTATCCCTAACTCCTATTCCATTGCTTTATTTCTTGATAGAAAGTTCATCTAAAATACATACTGAGATATAGGCGTGCAAACTTAGCATGACAGTTGCACACTGTGCAAGGTCACTAACTGACCTAAAATTTTCACTGCATTTTTCACTCTCTTTGAAATATGAAGTGGGAAAAGGAATGAGAGGATTTGAGATAATTATGTCAAAAAAAAATCCCAACCCAGTACCAGCAGGTTATATGATACAAGGCAAAAACTTCATGACTGTACACTTCTTCATATAATGCTCCCTCCACCTCACCCTTAGCCCCTTCTAGCCCCCACCTAATTTCTCTCACTTAGCTCCAGCTTATTTTACAACTAAAATAAATAAAAGTAACTAAAAAAACTCAACCAAACAGTTGATGATATTCTTATATAACCTTATCGCAGCATTTTAGAAATACAACTACATTGCTTACAAAGATGAAAGAAAACTACTGAGTCTGTAAAATCAGGTGGTTTTTTTTTTTTTTTTTTTTTTTTTACTTCACTGGGAAAAAGTGCTGATTGTTTCCTGTTCCACAATCATTCTCTCCAAAAGATTCTTAGAAAAATACAAATCAACACATCAGAGTCTCCAGTGCAAATACACAGCCTCAAGAATTTTGAAAGGCAGTCATTAGCTGCTTATTCCACTGAAGGTCTTCTCTGATGCTATTAAAAGCAGGACAGTCTGAATCACACTTACTCTGCATCCTGTTACATTCTGCTTAGATTACAGGTAGATACTTAGCTTTGGGCTCCTAAGATTGGACTAAAACCGCCCAGTCTGCACGAGAGCAAAGATCAGAGACGTTAACTTTGTGCCAGGATGCTTCAGTTAGATCAAGTTCTGTCTGTCAGCAAAAACTGTTACATGGTTTCTTGAGTGAATAAAATTGCATGCTCATTCTGCTTCTGATCACATTTGTATTGCTTGACAACCCAGACTGTGGAAAAACAGCTTGAAGATATTCTTAACTCCTTAGTTTTACAAACACACTCCCTCAAATCTTAGTCTATTTACACTGTGTAAACTTACCTTGCCTTTAAATTCTTGAGGCTACTAATTTCTCTGCACAGACTAATAACCTTGTAACAGAGAAAAATGGTTATACCAAACTTTTTTCCTTGCTTATTTTGTCATTAGAAAAAAATACTCTTTTCTTTTAGTTTAAAAAAACCCTATACATATCTAGGTTAACACAACCAAAACCACAGCACTTCAGAAGAAAAACGTTACCAAAACAAAGTCCAAAACAGAGATATAAACAGTCAGATGAAGCTTACAATGAGTTTTTACTTCAGGCTTCAACATAACTTGAGAGTTTCTTATCTGACAGATTTTTACAGATGAGAAATAAGCGAACAATGTACATACTTTACCTGTTGTCTGCTTAGAAGTTAGAGCTCTGGCCAATACTGTGCCTAAAAGTTTTGACACTGCTAAGCGCACATCGTAATTGGAACCTTCAAAGGATTTAAAACACAAGGTCACAAGACTATCCAGGTCCGTACTCCACATAAATACTGCTTCATTCTGAAGTTCAAGTAGACACTACACAGAAAAGGGAAACAAAAATGTTTTGATGTGGAAAAGCACTCAGCAAAAATTTTAATGTGCTACGTAGTACAGTATTCTTCCTAACAAATTAAGCATGTTGCTTTGTACTAAAATTACTTATTTTTCACTGCAAAGACAGTATCAAAGAAATAAAGATAAGCAAACTATGCATTTACTGCTGTGGTCATCATCCACTAAAACAGAGTTTTATTTAGGGAGCTTATTTCATAAAAACAGCTATAAGAGCACTTTACCTTTGCAGCAGCACATCGAACTGCCATGGATCGATCTGTCAAACATGACCGGGCAGCTTTGTAAATATCTCTATGACAGGGGATAGCAGCAGCTCCTAAACCATTTAATATATTTTGCAAACTAAGCATGATTTCATAACGACCTTGAGACTGAAAAGATGAAAAGGAGAAATGTGAAAGTTTTGTAACCCTAAGCTCCTTGGAAATACAAAATGCCAACTACTCCAACAGGTAAACAACAGTCTGGGCCTTTCCAACTTGGAGATCTCTTTATACTGAAGTGAGTTAAAGCAGATAACTTACTCTGTAACTCTATGAGCAAGTGAAAATAATAATTCAATATTCTATTAAAAAGTAGTCACTAGTAGTTTAAAACTCAAAACATGAAGTACAAGCTGAAGCATAAGAGTTGTCATTTAAAGGGCAATTAGATTTTCTAGTTAATCAAGTTTTTCATTAAATCTGATCGGGAATAGCTATGAACCATCATTTTATAGTCATAATCCATTAACTCTTCAGCAATTATTTCAAATTTAGACACTGATTTTTGTCCTATGACTTTCCACAATTTTTTCATGTATTGTTACGCATTTTCTCCTGTTCATTGGTCAAGTTACTAACAGTAAACATCCTATCATTTTTCCAATCATTTTTTTAAACATGCTGTTCCAATACCTCTGCATTCTTCATTGCTTTAAGAACATTCCCAACGGTGTCAGTAAAACTGTTTCCCAAAATTCTTCCCAATTTTTTGTATAAATAGCCCAAGCATACCACCGCAGCACTAAAACAAAAGCAAATCCAAAGATGTGTGAAAATGGATGCAGGAATAGATGAAAGGGAGTAAGATGACTATTGTAATCAATGGACAAACAACAAAATAACCACACACAATGTCCCAAAAATGTTAAGTGGATTATAAATAGGGAAAAAAAGTGTGTGTGACACACACTCAATGCTTTAGGAGACAGGCAGATAAAAAGGTTGGAAAAATAACTTGGTTAATACAAGAATTCAGGCAATACAAACTTCCAATAAATTTGATGATAAGAATACAATTTCCATATCCACCTTTAAACCTTAACATTAATTTCTAACTAAACATGTCCCATATCATGCTGTCTATGGCAGATGCTTCTAGAAGTAGTCAGGGACAGGTTTATTGACAACTCAGTGGTCCAAAGTAGATTGCAAATGGTCCAAGTAATTAAAATTCTAATGTTTATGTATAACAATACACAACAAGGAAACACCTTGAAGGAAGTGAAAATACAATCTCATGTCCTTTTCACTGCAAACAGATTCTGAATTTAGTTTCCAGGTGAAATACTAACAACTGGAGTCTGCGCGCTCTTCAGCATCTCCTTTAGCAAGAGCAAAAAAGCTAAACATTGTTAAAGAAACAGTTGCTTAATTAAAGACTCTTTTCCTTTGAATAAAAAAAAAACTATTGCTTTTTTACTGACAGATCTGTAACTAAACCAATTCATTTTATGACTACAAGGAAAAAAAAATCTCTAATCACCTTTCAGGTTTCTGGCCAGAGCTTCTTAAATATGCAGTGACACTGCTCAGCACTCCCTTCAGCAACATTTTACTTATTCCCCAACTGAATTCAAGTTTCACATAAAAAAATTTTAAAGTCTCATACTGAACACATTCTTAATTAGAAAAATGCATTTAACAGTAGCAGTTAGCAGTAATTCCCTAAATGACAAAGCACAATACAAAACCCAAACCTGACGTTCTTGATCTCTTATCATTCTAAGATCCTACTTTCACTACAGCAACATTTTTAATTACTGCTTTTATCCAACGCAGTACCCACCAACAGTGTGGATTTTAGTTTTGTTCATGGTGTGGCTGGGTGTAACATTACAATTCCATCATCTCACTACTAAATTGATCATCTGATGGTCACAGATATTCCCTTTAATTAGCCTCAAGATATATAATTCACATCATAACCTGAAGAAGGAATATTTAACAAACACAGGCAAAACCAATCCCAAACCACAACTACATTAGTACATTGTGGTACAACCTGCAAACAGTCTTACATGGCTGGCTGCATTGCAACGTGCTCCAGTGATGAATGAATGAATGATTCAGTGTTGAACAGTGATTTCTAGCAACAAAGTGGTGTTATTTGTTGATGAGTAAAATTAGTCAAGTAAAGATGAGAATTCAGCCGGTTCTGCGCTAGGAAAGGACTAGATGACCTTTGGAGGTCACTTCCAGCCCAGACATCCTGTGATTCTATGACTCTGCACATCGATATTTAAGTTTCTCTCAAAGGTCAAAGCACAGGACTTGGGAAGCATTTCTACCGCCTTCTAGGATTGTATCATGACTCTGCATGGGTTTTTTTCCAGAAATGTTTCTTCAGCTCCAAACTTTATTAACTATTGAGTGAAACAACCTGTCAAATGACAAATAACAGGCAGAAGTTTCCAATGAAGCCTGGAAATTTAGACAAGTTTGGCAGGGAAATGCCTCTCTGCCTATGTTTTTTCATCCCTGGCAGCACCTCCATTTTGATATACAACTCTTTATATAAGATACATTTAGGTTGTTTTCTCTCAAATTTTACCTTAACAATTGCATTTGGAGAGGTACCAACAAAAGTGCAGAACTGAGATCCTTAAAACATGTGGTAAAATAGCACCGAGATCAGCTGTGAAAGTTTGCTGACCAGCCAAAGGCCTCAAGAATGTTTATGGTTTAAAAGCAGCCCTAGTGCACATTTTTAAAACTTAGTCTTTTTTAAAACAGTTTAAAAAAAAAAAGTTTCAAAAAGTCTTTTTTTAAGTTATAACATTTTCTAAGATCTTTTAAGAAGTTTTCTAAAGTTGTACTGCAAAGCTGTATTCATACTACATGACCTGTTTGTCTGACCAGATACAGCATTCACATCACACTCAATTTTATGTGTGCACCTGACTAAGGTTAAGGTTAAGGTTATGGAGCAATGATGGTGAAGTGTTGCTCCCAGATAACATGGGCATGTATGTTAAATAAGGACAGATGGCTAACAGGACAACACTTTAATTAGTATTTCTTAAAACAAGAAGAAAAAAAAAAAAAAGGCAGTCTGTCTTCACTGAACATCAAGTATTCCATATACTTGCAGCCCACACTGAAAGATTTTGCATCATAGAGTTCCGTAGTTCTAATTATTTTTCTGTAGCCTGTTGTCTCACTGTCAGTACTGTAAGAAATACCTTTTCCAAACCTTGTTTGAGGTAAATCGTATTTTATTCCTATTTTTTTTTCTCCATTTCATCTCTTATTTCCTCTCTTCACTACTGCTTACATACCCTGCAGGACTCTGAACACTGCCATCTTTCTCCCCTAGCTCCTTCTCTGCCTTCTGTCTCTGGATATCTGCCACTTCTGTCTGCCTGTGCCATTTCTGCCTTACTGCCAATAGACTCATCCCACTTTGCTAAGTTGACATCATCCCACTTCCTCCAGCATGGCATCTTGCAGCTAAAGCAAGGAAGACCTGCAGAGCTCTGTCCCATACTACAACTCACCTATAATGCTAAAGCATCTCACTGTTGAGAAGTCAATAGTATAGCAGTACTTCACATTGCAGGACTAAGACCCTTCACAGCAAACTTAGTCTCAACTGAAAGGATTGCACACAAGGTCAATTAGAACAACTAAAAAAACCATTATGCTACTGGAAATGTAACTGACTCCTTGCAAAAACTGTATTTTTGGGAAACTCCAGTTGTAAGAAACAGGGCTAGCATGTGAAGCAAAGGAGGAAGACAGATTCTGCTCTGCTTTGTACACTGTATCATTAATGCGTGATGATGTTTTATTCTAATTTTCTTCACTATCATGAAAGAGGTACATGGTTTCAGGAGTGAAGGTTAATTCATAATATTTCAAAACTTAAAATGTGGTTTCACAACCTTCAGTAACAGTTCATGGTTCTCTGTTCTGTCTGCTAGACTTTAGGTGTTTAGCTATAAACTGTCTTTGTTTAGCCCGTTGCTCTATCACCCAATCACTTCCTCCTCTGGAAGAAGGAATTGGGAAAAGGAAAGGAGACCCACGGGTTGAAATGGCAACAGATTTAATGAAGTAAAATAATTATTCTAAAAACTAATATTAATATAGAAAAATACACAAAGTTATACTCCACTAGAGTCGTGGTCGTGAGCTGTGCAGGCCCCACAAGCACCACTGCCCCACAGTATGCAGGAGAGACTGCCTCGGGAGCAGAGTGATGGGCCAGACCTTCCAGAGATGGTGGCCATCAGGAGGTGGGTCTGTCCCCAGTAAACTTTCTAATTTACATTGAATTTGATGTTTATGGTATGGAATACTTCTGTTGGCAGGCTTGGGTCAGCTGCCCTTTGCTCCTCGGAGCTCCAGCACCTGGCTAACTCAAAACTGCCAAAGACCTCGACCACTACAGAGACCCACATACCATGGCTGGCCACAAACAAAACCAAAGTGTCTTATCAGCTTTATTCTCACTGAATGGGGTGCTGCAGTCTTCTCAAAATGCAGCTTCCTTGAATAGAAAACTGATTCTATGATTCTATCCCAGCCAAACTAGGACACACTTTCAGATGTTTCTTACTAACTATATCCAGTTTCCCAGCCAGATCAAGAAACGTACTCAATAACTCAATTTTGTACCTGGAGTTGTACCTGTCTGCTCTTTTTTTAGTTGTACTTTAAAGGTTTTTTTTTTAAAGTTGTACTTTACTGCTCTTCTCAGCACTATTATTACCTTCTTGTTTTCCAAACACCTGCCCCTTCATAACTCTGCTGTCCATTGCTGGTTTTCTCTCTGGGCTGATTTTCTGTTGTCTGGCTGGAGATCACCAAGTGTCTACTACCATTTTGGTTCCTGATGCACACATACAATATCTAACACTTGCATATTACTTGTTTTATTATGCATCCTGTAGTAGTGATCTCAGAAGCACCACATCAGGTAACTATTTGTTTTCTTTTACTAATGTTAAGTAAGTTAGTTACAAAAAGCTTTCTTCACCTTTTTTTTCTAACAAGCAGGGTTTGTTTGACTTGCTGTAAAGCATGGCTTATTCAATATGGCAATAAGTACTGCAAGCTAACTTGGTCCCCTCACTGAAAAGACCTAAAGCATAAACTGGACTCGATTTACCTTAAAGCATAAGGTTGTTACAGATCTGAATGATAGCAACAAGTCTAGCATTCCTACACTCCTAAATAAATTAGTTCAGGACAGCTTTCAAATTGCTCAAGGCATTTCTTTCCAGTGGATCCCGTAATTACTAGCTAGCTAGGTACGTCAAATTTTGTTCCAACATATGCAGCCTACACTGACTCCAATCAGCCAACAAATTGCCTCTGTGTTAAATGCTCCAAAAGTAATGTGATTTTGAAGCTTTTGAATGCAACTGATTTTATGTTATATTTATGTGAATCATAACAAGAAATTTCGCAGCATGGGAGAAAAATATATTTGAAGCTTATTAAACTTTCAAGGGTAATTTATGTCGTAAAGTACTAACCTGAATTCCCCCCTCAACGTGCAATTGAACTTCTTCCTCAAAACTTTCCAGTAAAGACACAGGAAAGAATATACAAAATACTGCACAAGTACTTCTGTGCTGAAGGCAGCATATACTAAGCTATTAAAATAAAATTGTTATAATACCTATATTATAACAAGGAAGGAAGGAAGCAATTACAATTAGCTTTCAGGTTTCAGATTAATTCACTTTCTCTTTTTAATGTTCAAGCCTAAAAATTTTACATATGTAGTACAAGAGAAAAAAATACTTCTGACAGTTTCCACATACATCCACAATAGTAATTTGAAGTTTGGGGTTAAAAAAAAAAAAAATTACTTACAGTTTTGTAGGCAGATAACTTGGTGAATCATCTTTGCTCCGAATGAGCTCATTGCATTTGTCAATTGTTTGGTAAACAGAAAAAGTGTCTCCAGTGCTATAAAGTACAGCTAAATTCTTGGCAACAAGCCGTCTAGTAGGAGGTCCTGGTGAATTATTTAATAAAGAAGTCAATTGTTCAACCAGTTTCTTCTGATTTTCCCTTATATCAGCCTGGAAATAAAATCAGTAACCAGCTAAATATCAGTTAAATTTAAAAGTTAATTAAAGATAATTAATGCTAATTATCTTTACTTTTTATTACTGTCATTCTGATAATCTGACATTCTTAATTAAAATGAAATTTTATTGCACATTTCTACTGAAAGAAAAGCCATCTCAAGTATGTGACTATTTTATTCTCTGTAAAAAAAAAAAAAAAAAAATCACATTTTTCAGAGCATAATTCTTTCTAGCAGCATTTGAGGAGTACTTTTCTTATGGCATTTGTATAGTTATATCTTACTACAACAAAATTGCCTTTTCTTGCTTCTTTTATGCCTGTTTTCAATTACTATATTTCTAAGAATTATTGTATTTTAAGTAGCAAAGAAGAACTTTACCAGAGTTTCAAGAAGTTGAGCATTGGAAAGGAAAGAACTTGTCTTAAAACAATCACCTATCTTAGTCTTATATAATTTTCTTAAAATGCTCTTAAGAAAAAAAAAAGAGCCTGGCACTATATTTAATTTACGTATTTTAACACAAATATCGTAACTCTTACACAGCATTATCTAGGTTGGCTTACTGTCATATATCCACATATCCTACTTAATATGCACTGAACAGTGAACCAAACAATTGGAGAGTTGGCTGGAAAGAGATCTTTTATCTCTTGATTAGGGAAAAAAAAAAAAAAAAAACAAAAGAGAAAGATGTACACGACTGCCATTCTTCATCACGGGGTTGCAAAATCTTGAAGTAATAATCTGAGGGGGGTTTTTTTAATTATTAAAAATTCCTTTCATTGGACAAGTGGCTCTGTCACTTGAAGGCCTGTGACCACAATCTGCAACATTTAGAAAGCTTCTGGTAGCACTGAATATACTTTCATTGCATGTACATAAGAGACATAAAGCAAATGAAATTGAATACTGCTCTTTGTTTTTAAAAAAAAAGACAGAGAAACAGCTCTATAATGTTCATTTCTTCTGAAGTCTCATTATACTTACTTTGCTAGTCACTGGTAAAAGTTTTTCCAAAAACTGTAACCATTCAAAAATGAACTCTGCTTTTTGAAATTCACCAAGCTGGTTATATGCTTCTTCATTAAGTAGTAAACTGTGAGCTAACTCCATTCCTTGAAGTTTTTCCCAAATCTCTCCTCAAACACCACAGAACAAAAAAAACCAAACTACAAGCTACCAGAACTGTGTTAATCAGAGACGTTTTCTTCCTCATTAACACCTGGTGACCGAATCAGAGGTTTGAACACCTACAGAGAAAAAGAATAAAAAAAATTACTAGAGAGTCAGTAATGACAATCACAATAAGCTTGGCTTGTTAAAACTCAATTTTTGAAGGAAAATTTTAAATATTAATTTTTAAATTGCAGTAGTTTTAGGTGGATTTAGTAATACTTAGTGGGTTTGGAAATGGGATAATGGTATTGATGTAATATGCCAATTAAAGCTAAATGTACTTCAGAATATATCAGAGGGTTTCTTGTTAAGCTTTTTTTTTTTTTTTTTTTTTTTTTTGCTTGAAGTAAGGTGCATGAAGTAAGGTTTTCTAGCACCTGATCATGCATATAACAACCAATGACCAACTGCTCCTGAACTTAATGGCTTTTGCTTTCCAGATTTAAGTGCAGCAATGGCAATAACCTAGACCTAACAAACTCCTATTATATTCACAAATATAAATGCTAACATATTGTTGAAACACTTGATGTATTCTCAATGTCAAAGAAAGCATAAAGAAAAAGTAGAACTTCACTGCTGAACAAACCTCTAATGCTGTGGGTTTTTTTAAAAAAAAAAAAAAAAAAAAACAACACTGAAAAAAAAGAATGTGTCAAAACCTTGAAGTTCAAAAGAAGTTATGTTTTACTTATGTCTCTTGGACTACTTTGGGAATTCCCACATTGTCAATAAGCATAACAAGAGGCAAACCAAGACGAAAAATACTTTTAACAGTAAATTGTTAAAGCGTTTAAATGGTTGTTATAGCATTTAAATGCTATATAGCCTCAAACTACAAAACATAATATTCTGTAGGCTTCTTTACCAGAATCTCCTTGACTATTTAAGTGTGAACCATATTTTAAACTCTAAACTAACCTTTCCAGAGGTCACCAAGACTGTTGAACACAAATATTTTTTCCTATGCAGTAACAATAATATAGTGTAAAAAGATCCACAAACAGTAAATGGACAGACAACACAAAGCAATGGTCAATAATTCAGTACTTGAGCTGTCATCAAATGTACAGCAGACGGTTACCTTTACTACTTTCTACACATTTTAATTTAAAATTTACTCACAAAGGAAATCAGTCACATCTAATTTCCTATAATGAATTGTCACTTCAAATTTACCTGAAATACCAAGCAGCTTGACAATGCGCTACAGTATAAAATGACAAGGAGAGCTAAATACACATAGTTTATTATACCTATACATATTTTATCTGCCTAGGTACAGAGATGTTCACAATTTACCAGTTACCTCCTCCTAGAACACTCACAGAACTTAAGTTCATCTTCACATGTTTTGCAAAAAAGTAGGACAACTTACTTCACTGAATATTTGAGTAAAGTTTCATCATTGCTCAGAATGAACATTACATGTACAGGTCACAAACATTTATTCATTGCTCATCCAAGGCCTTTTCCAATGTCTACTATCTCTAAATCACTTACTACCACAGCAGTTGATTCAACTTTCATAATCAGTTAAGGGGTAAATTTCCCCCCCCCCCCCACTGAGATCATCACAGATTGCTGCTACACATTGGCACTTAACTTACCTAGCAGGTAATTTCTCCTCATTGTAGAAACTTTCTCTCTGCTGCTCCAGGCTCTTGGATAACAGATGTCAGGGACTCAGTTTTCTAGAGAAGGATTTAAAATAAAGATATACTTTAGGAAAGCACATGAGATACAAACAAGTGTCTATTCCACAGGAAACAAAAAAATCCAAAGTCTTGTAATACTGACAATTTTTGTGAAGTAATAGCTCAACAAAAAGGCACTAGACTTGAGCTTCATAAATATCAACAGTTCTTTATGTTACATTTAAATTGGACAGATCCACCATATTCATCATCCAATTTGGTTCCTTTCACTACTGAAAGCACCTTTCTTAATTCTGTTAGTTCAGTTTCATTCTAAAGAAAAAAAAAAAGTAAGCTTGAACAGCATAATACCATAATTATTTTCTAGAAAGATTATTCCAGTGCCTTTCTAAAATCTACATTACTTAAATGTATCTAAAAAAGCATAGGTGCAAAAGATCTATGATATTCGTCTGGACTGCTATCGTAAATGACCATATCCTTAACGCTAAATCATGAACAATGTGACAGCATTCATATCAAAATCAACCAGCAAAGCTAGCAAAGGGAACTCAACTGTTCTGAAAAATTCATGTATCCTGCTATGGATAAAACAAATTACGAGGATTATCAAACCATTCTTCTAGCTCCCAGATATAATTCTGATACTAGAACTGATGGGCAAAAACATTTCCTTTTAAACCTCATTCCACAGGAACTGGCAGGACATGAAATACAGGTTGCATGCTATTTTAAAAGTAAACACTTGACAACCCATTTTTAAAAGACTGCAGCTGAAAACAAATTGAAAGTACATGTAGATTTTAAAGTAATCTAAACTTTCAATCTGGTGAAGAGGAGGCTCAAGGGTACCTAATGGCAGCCAACAGAGTGGGTTACCGAGAAGATGAAGATGAGTTCTCTGCTGAGGTGCGTGGGAGGGAATAATACAGGAAGTGCCATCAATTAAAACAAGGGAGGTTCCAACGTGAGAGAAGAAAAAAGATTTTCACTGTAAGGATTATCGGTCACTGGGACAGGTGCTGAGAAGTTGCTTTACCCTCAGGGTTTTCTAAGCTTCAAGCAGACAAAACCCTAAGCAGCCCATCTATAGTTCATATTCTAACTTTTTCTCTAAATGTGACACTTCTACTATATAAGCACACATTTAAAAAAAAAAACCTACTAAATTATTTTTGTGAGTCTAAATTGAAAAAGAAAAATATTATGGTGTAGTTGCTGATCTTTATAATGACCACCTGCTAGCATAGCTAGAAGCGCCAGCATTTCTCAAAGGAAAGACAAGCAGTTCTGAATTACAGAACTTGGTTATTTACCATGCCAGACTTAGTTTTGTAGGAACCAAGAACTGCCCAAGCAGCAAAAATATCATGGACTTGATCTTGCCACTGCTGGTCAACAAGCAAACCTTGGTTCCACGAAGGTACATCCAAAGCAGTATACTCTCCACTCTATTCAAAAAAAAACTTATCCCAAACACTTACTGAGGCTCCCTTCAATGAGCTGCAAGCCTGCACACCAGGGATACTTATGAGGCTTCAGAATAATAATAAAAGGGCACAGGCATAGAAACTTGTGAGAAGAAAGCTGAGAATGTAGGCAATCCAGTCTTTACTGCAGCATATTGGTTTTGCAGTCAGATTGAAGAACAAGGCAAAAGGCACGGTGCTTACAAGGACAAGCTGTGTTTGATTAATATTAAATATGTCCTTGTTACATATACCAGATGTTACCAAGCAATTTCTAGGTGCAGAAAGAAACATCAAACCTAAACATATACTGTCCAGACAGAGGTCCAGCTCTGCTCTAATAAAAGACACGGCATAGCCAAGTGGTGGGCAAGGCAAGCACAATAAAAGACTGAGGGTTACACCAGCCATTGCCGGTAGGACAGTTTCTGGACCACCATCATGCACTAGTAAATCGACTGAAGTACAACCTAAGTATGTAAAGATGCTCCTATATTTACATGAAATCTATGTTTAAAAATATGGAACTATTTGATAGTCCCTTGCCCATGATGTTTATAAATTTAATCCTTCTCAATCTGAAAAAATTGTCTGGAAAAATAAATGTGAAATTTAATCAAATTAAGCACATTATGCCATCAACAAAAATGAAAAGAGATACACGGCCGATTTAAAAAAAAAAAAAAAAAATCAAAAAAAAAATCTTTATTTTCTACCTAGCATGACGCACCACCCGTTTGGGTTCACCTTTAGACAACTCAGAGTAATTACAGTATTCACTTTCCCATCAGTGCTACAAGAGTAGATCAATCAAAAATCCTTCTTTTTTCCTATGAGGTAAGTTTATCTTACATTTATACTGTGCTACAAAACTGCCATAAAGATTTACTGGACAAGGCAGGAGTTGTTCCAACTTATTACTGATGAAAACTTTTTTCATTTCCTGACTGCCAATTTGGCATGCAGGATTGTTTAAGACTGATCAGGAAATAGCTCAGAAAAGCTCATGGAACAAGTACTAGATGGAATGCTGCCCTGTAAATTGAAAGGAATATAGGGTGGATCAAGTGTTAAAAGGCAACAGCAACTGAGTTTCTAAAGTTCTTGACAAACCCCAAAGAGAAAAAAGGGACTTGTAGTTTTCTTTAAAAGATGACTGAACCAGGGTAAGACTGATCTGAGTAACAGTCTTTAAGATATGAGAACAAACAGATCACCCATGACAAAGTTATAACAGAGACAAAAAAAACCCAAACAGATCTATTATGAGTATCAAGTTTGTTCTGAAGTCAGTGATCTCCTCAGGCTTTAAAAGCCGAGGGAAGCAGTCCACAGACTGATGTATTTCTTGCACCTGGAAATCAAATTAATTTAAACAAACATTAATACACAACAAATTTAAAGCTATGAGAAACAGTGGCAGCTCAACAAATTTTATTTTCCCCCTTCCTTCCACCCCATGGCATATTTTGTCTCAGCATAAAAAAAGTAATCTAAAAAAATCTAAAAATATTGAATCTGCAATAAAGCAGACTCCTAAATAATGTCTCACTAAAATAAAACCTAAGCTTTTAAATTACGACTCATTGTTTCAAGGGAGATCAACACAAGTAATGGAAAACACCACACAGATCAAGTACATAGTGACAAATTTATTTTCTTTTAAGATTTCTCACATTTGACCTCTCATTATCCAGCAGTTTGTTCCTCTGTGCCAGGACAAAGTGCTGCTCTAACAGAAATCAGATCGACCTCAGCTCTCTGAGCACGATACTCAGATGAGTATCTAGATCCTCTACATCTGCTACGT